TGAGTATATTATTTTTCAAAGTGTCAGAAATGGATAACAAAACTGCCATTTCCAATATTGCTATTTTACATACGAGGATACAGCATTCTAAAGGACCAATTTCTTAAAAAAATTAAATAAAAAAAAATACCAAGTAGTTCTAACTTTCTGGAGGGAGCCAGTGAGCGTCTACATGACAACTAGCATCAGTTTAGCTTATAAGATTTACACATTAAAATCGTCTTTAATTGACGTCATTGAGGTTTTTTTATTTGCTGCAAGTATCAATCATAAATTAGCAGATATACGGTCTTTAAATAAATCCCATTTGTAATGAATGTTTAGCAGAGTCCCTTCTAGATACACTGACACATAGGCCTGCCGATTAGCCTTTGCCCCCCTGCATGAGCCGATACATGCATGGGTCGATTAATAAGCAAATTTAACAGCATTGCCTTAAGATCATTTGAAGTGCATGCATTGTCACTCTGCATTCGTTATAAATTGATTTAGTAACAATGGTCTGTTACATTTGTTATTGTGCATTTTAAATATAAGGAAGAAAAAGCAATGCCATCTCCAAGAAACAGCCTAAAAATATCAGAAGCATATATTAGGGATTGTTTAGACAGATGTAAAAATGGATACTGGGATTAAAAAAAAAGTAACTGTATCAGTTGATCTCTAGTGTCCATGATCATTCTGTGCTTTAAACGCATGTCACTGCATTAATACTCACTTTGTGGAAATATCTTTTCCTGTCTGATAAGCCTGTGCCTTCATGATCCTCTCCATGTTTCCAGACCAGCCGTACTGACTGGCAACCAGAGCACAGGGTGAGTTGGTCAACCTCTGGGAGAGAACGGCCTTTTCAATCTGTAGACAGAACACAAATATTGTGTTAAAATTGTAAACCTGTTAATTTCTTCAGTTGATCTTCCATGGGAGGACCACTAAAACATGTTCTCCACCTTGTCCTTCAGAGCCTTGTCCTTTAGCCAAGTAGTGAGAGGCTCAAACTCCTTCTCCAGGGCCTCCCTCTTCTCTTTGGCCTTCTCACTTTCCTCGAACTTCACCCCCTCTTTGGCCACGTTCTGGAAGCGTTTTCCATCAAACTCGGGCAGAGCCTGGATGCAGTACTCATCCACAGGCTCCGTCAGGTAAATAACCTCATAGCCTTTCTTCAGCAGCCTCTCGACAAAGGGGGAAGACTCCGCCTGTGAAGAGGAGAACCTCAGATTAACTCAGCGCATGGGGTAAAAGACACCCCCCTCAACCACCGGTCCATCTTCACTCACCTCCTTTCTGCTGGTACCAGCCATGAAGTAGATCTTATCCTGCTTCTCCTTCATGCGCTCCACATACTGCTCCAGACTGGACAGGACGGTTTCGCTGTTGGAGGTCTGGAAGCGGAGCAGTTTGGCCAGACGGGTTCTGTTGGAGTGATCCTCGATCACGCCTAGTTTGATGTTGGTTCCGAACTCCTTCCAGAACTTTTCGTTGTACTGATCATCTGCAATCTTCTTGATCATGTCCAAAGTCTTACGGACCAGCTTCTTGCGGATGACCTAAAGAAAGCAGAAACTATTTTTAACTAAATGTTTTTACTTTGTCGTAATCGAGCAGAACTCATTTAATCCAAAACTTTGAGATGTACCTTCAACAGTTTGTGTTGCTGCAGAGTTTCTCTGGACACGTTTAGAGGAAGGTCATCAGAGTCGACCTGGCAAAGAAAACCACCTTTAGTCTCAGATTAAAGCAGACTGATCATAAACAAACCAGCAGTAAAAACGTACCACTCCCTTGATGAAGTTTAGGTACTTGGGCATCATGTCGTTGAAGTCGTCTGTGATGAAAACTCTCCTGACAAACAGCTGCAGCAGAGAGTTTCAGTGTGAATGTCAACCCAATACAAACATCAGTCGCTCTCAGTCGTTTAAACTGAACTCAAACCTTGATGTAGTCGTTCTTTTTTGAGCCATACTCGTCAAAGAGGCCACGTGGAGCCGCCGTGGGGACGAAGAGGATGGACTTGAAGGTAACTTCACCTTCTGCTGTGAAGTGGATGTGTGCCAGGGGGTCATCAGTGTCCTGGTGGACAGAATAAGAAGGTTTACTGGAATCGAACCAGATCTTTATAATCCAAAAGGCTGATTAGCTGTCTGCAGATGCTGCTCATACCTTTGAGAAGGTCTTGTAGAAGGCCTTGTATTCATCCTCCTCGACCTCCTTGGCTGGTCTCTGCCAGATTGGCTTGATGTCATTCATCAGTTCCCAATCCCAAACTGTCTTCTCAACCTACAACATGAATATTACGTTAAGAAATGGGCCTTGGTACCTAGTTAGGATTTTAACGCATTTTCTACAGTAATAATAATTATGACCTCAGCTATGATGAGCATAATATAAAAAAAGATAACCGATTAGACCTGCTGGTCAGAAACCAGAGCTACAGTAGTAGTCATTCAAAATGTCCCTACTTTCCTTGATTTGTCCCCTACAAATCTAACCTGACTCCACCAGATGGATTTGCTCCACATATCCATCTGGAAACCTTCCGCTGAAGTAATTTTGGCAAGGGGCGAAAATACTGGTTAGCTGATTGGCCTATGTTGGTGATAGACGGGCCAAATAAACCAATCAGATCAACGAAGCATATGACGTCCTAACAGAGCGACGACGAAAACACAACCACAAGCCAGGCTACTCTTGCCAAAACCAGTCGGGAGAAGAGCAAAAACATCTTTTCCTCTGAGAAAAGCCTCCAGAGCAGTGTTTTGCTCTTCTTTCAGTGAAGAAATACTCTGTAATTCCGATAAAACTTGCTCGATAGCCACGCTAACGCTAGTTTCATCGGCTGAAGCCGCCATGTTCTTTAGACTGAACTGTCGCGCTTCTCGTTGCGTCACACCTCAACCCGCCTCAAAGCCAACGCTGATTGGACCTTCGTTTGGTGAACGGGTCCAAATTTTCTTCAAGAGTCTCCAGACTGATCTGCGAGTGAAACCTTGAAAGCTCGCGAGATCAGGATGGTCCCACGAGGCTACTACAATTCCTCTTTAAACATCAATCTCTGTACTGAAATATTCTGTCACGATTTGTAGACATTAAAATTTATTAGAAGCATCACCTCCTGGTCAGACCCTGCATTTCAGTGGAAGGATGGAGTCGGAGTAAAAATAAAAAATGCAAGTCCAGGGGAAGGCCGGTGGATGGAAGTTGGAGGGGATTTGGTTGGGAGTCGCCGGGGAGCAGGCCGCCATTCGGCTTGAAGTTGACTGGAAAGGGCCAGTTTGAACGGCTGCTACTGTAGGGTTTATACAGGAATAAATAACTCTAACTTAATGCTTTTTAATGCCCTTAGAAATTTTAATGCCACCAACAGGACTCGTCGATAGGCTGCAGCCATGTCACGAATTCCTCGTTTTCCAGCCACTTTGTTGAAATTGGCATTTCCCCCCCCATTCTGTAGCTTTCAAGATTTCACTCGCAGATCAGTCTGGAGACTCTCCGTTAAAGAAAATTTGGAGCCGTTCACCAAACGAACGTCCAATCAGCGTTGGCTTTGAGGCGGGTTGAGGTGTGACGCAACGAGAAGCGCGACAGTTCAGTCTAAAGAACATGGCGGCTTGAGCCGATGAAACTAGCGTTAGCGTGGCTATCGAGCAAGTTTTATCGGAATTACAGAGTATTTCTTCACTGAAAGAAGAGCAAAACACTGCTCTGGAGGCTTTTCTCAGAGGAAAAGATGTTTTTGCTCTTCTCCCGACTGGTTTTGGCAAGAGTAGCCTGGCTTGTGGTTGTGTTTTCGCTGTCGCTCTGTTAGTACGTCATATTCTTCGTTGATCTGATTGGTTTATTTGGCCCGTCTATCACCAACATAGGCCAATCAGCTAAGCAGTATTTTCGCCCCTTCCCAAAATTACTTCAACGGAAGGTTTCCAGATGGATATGCGGAGCAAATCCATCTGGCGGAGTCAGGTTACACATTCTGTAGCTTTTTCTGAACATACGGCTTTCTGATCAACCGGAAGCAGTTCCACACAAATATGTCATGATATATGTTTGACAAAATTGTTTTTATAAACAATTTTTTTTTTAAAGAACGCATTTTAAATGCCACAATAAACACATTTAATGAATTTTAATGCCAATTAAGGTCTTAATTTAAAAAAATAAGAATTTAATGACCCGCAGAAACGCTGACTGTACCAGAGTGCTTAATACTTTGAGAGTAAAAGCCAATAAGGTAATAACCAAGATGGGACATTTTCAGATGAAGAAAAAGTATTACGATAAAGTTCTAGCAAAGGACACTCATTTAATCTGGATGGTTTAAATGAATCTGTACAGAATAGGTGATGCAGAAAAAGCTGCTGTTACAGAGTGATTTTAAAAAACTTATCACAACTCTATAAAGCCGTTACCTTCTTTGTCTTTGGTTTGTCTTTATCCTCCTCCTCTTCCTCTACTTCAGCCTCATCTTCAGTGGCCTCCTTCTCTGGTTCCTCTGCTTCAGCATCTTCCTCGATGGGCTCTTCGACCGTCTCAGTCTAAGACATTAGGAACAAAATAAAACCATTGCTACGTTTTCCATCGATCTGAAAAGTTGGAAATATTCGGAGCTGAATGATCACCTTGCTAGTCCAAACGTAGATGGGGAAGTTGATGAACTGGGAATACTTCCTAACAAGATTCTTGATGGTTTCCAGCTCCAGGAAGTCAGAGGCTTCCTCCTTCAGGACCAGCCTGAGTTCAAGGAGAACGTTTAAGTTCAAAGTCGACGCAACACCAGAACAATTCAGAAAATGTTCTTAACAGCCTATAATGGTAAATGATTAAACCTACGTGATGGTTGTTCCTCTTCCCAGAGTGTCCCCACGTGGGTCCTCGATGACCGAGAACTGGTTTGAATCCGACTCCCAGATGTGCTGAGTGTCGTTGTTGTGCTTGGACGTCACAATGACTTTGTCAGCAACGAGGAAAGCGGAGTAGAAACCCACACCGAACTGGCCAATCAGCTCGGACGTAGACTGTCCCTCAGACTGCATCTCTGTCATCTTATTGAGGAACTCGCTGGTGCCCGACTTGGCGATGGTTCCCAAGTTCTTCACCAACTCCTCTTTGGTCATTCCAATACCAGTGTCAGTGATGTGGAGCATGTTCTTTTCTTTATCAGACTGCAAGCAAGAGAGGCAACATTATTTTAATGTTCATTTCCCAATGTAAAAACACTAAAACACTTAAGTTTTACAGTTTTTAGACGAAGTTCAAATCTTTAAGATTCGATTACAAGCAGTTAAAATAAATCCTAAACTGCTCTAAATTTACATGCAATAATTTGTTATGTCATGTTGAGACAAAGACTAAAGAAAAGTATTAAAACTTAAATTTTAACCCATTTTTCCCTTCTGGTTAACAAGGAATATAAATAAATCCTCATTTAAAAAGCAGATTAACTGCTATACAATAATATTTCACTCCTGAAATCTAATATAAAGAGCTTAAACATAAAGTTTCAACAGTTCTAAACGTGTCTTTATAATAAATTAGCCTCTGCTTACTTTAATTTTGATGGTCAGCTCTTCATTGGCTGCCAAAGCAGTGTCATCAGTAAGCGACAACAGCCGGATCTTATCCAGAGCATCCGAGGCGTTGGAGATCAACTCCCTGAGGAAGATCTGCAAGACATGAACAACACGTGAGCTTTCCCCCTGACAATAAAACAGTGCCTCCAGCTTTAAGTGTTTTTCCCCTTACACACCTCCTTGTTCTTGTAAAGAGAGTTGATAATTAGCTTCATCATACGATTGACTTCTGCCTGAAATGCGTGTTTTTCAGACTTTTCCCTGAGTTCCTTAATCTGAGCAGCATTCAAACCATCCAGCTGGATAGCCTCCTCCTCCCTGTAGGCAAAAAAAAAAAGAAACGCAAGTGAAACAAACAGAACACACAGATTCTGCAACTACTGAGTAGTTAAAACAGAAAGCAACTGGGTTGATTGTTCAGTATTGCTTAGAGCGGTCATGTTCTTAATGGCTGAGAATCTACAGTAACAGGATCAGCTAAGGACGCCTTCACTGATCCATCAGATCTGTTCCCAAACTACAGAGTCATTCCTGTCCTGATGACCTGTGTATACAAGCCTGGTCACCCTGACCTTGGGTTTGGTTGATTGCAGGGTCACAAACAAAAAAAGGAAAGTGTCAATTTAGGGTAGAAGAATACCCGGAACTTGATTTTTGAATAAAAAAAAGGTGTAATTTAATCTCTCAAGTTTGTTTAACAGAACACATCAATGAAAGTTTACAAGAAAAATGTCAAAAAAATAAAAGCATCAAAATATAGTTGGATTAAAAAAAGTTGAATTTGGCTGCTGCAGCTTTATTGGCAACGAAAACCGCTTTGCAAGGCAAGACTGCTGCTTTATGACCATGCAAAACATTTTCTGAATATTAACCAATATTTAAAAAAGGGGGGGGGGAAGACATTGATACAGATGCTATATATGAATGAAAAGCTGCATATTTCTTGTGGTGTTACCCACTAATACTGGAATGATGACACATTTAGACAATGTGCAAACTTATTTATTTAAACAATCTGCACCTACCTCTGCACCACCTCGTCATCTGTTCTGGATCCATCCCTGCTCTTCCCGAGGTCCTCCTCCACTGTGCCATCCACATCCACCTCATCCTCAGCCCGTACAGCAGCTGCAATGAGATAGTTATACTTTTCATACATGGTCGCATATTTCTGATTGTAAAGCAGAGTTAGACAGTGATCTGTTCAGTCTAAATGAGTTTTAAGTCAAATATAACTGTTTTTGGAAAAGCAGATTCTTAAAGCAAGGCTTCCACGTGTGAAATTAAATGTGTTGCTCAGGGAAACTTCTAGAATCACTACTAGGAAGCAAGTAGGTGATTTTAATAAAGAAACAGAAAAACACTGAAGGATGTCTGCTCAAGCATTTCTCCATCTCAATAGGAGTCAGTGTGCTTTTTTCCCCCTCAGCCAGAAACTTCTAGAAAGGCGTTAAGTCCTCATGATAGTTAAAATGTGCTTTAAGCAGTATAATAAACCATGCAATGTTATATCCACATTAAATATCTAGAAATAAACAGAAATAGTGCTCTGACAACAGCACAAAGACAGGTTCATATTAGCTTCCATTAGCAGCTAAATATGGTGGATAACAGCAAGAAAGTCACAATGAAACATAGCTTTCCAAAACTCACCGAAGGCTAGAAGTGCGAAAACAAGCCCTAACACCCAGACTCGTTTCATTTTGAGATACTTCTACCGGTGGTGAGTCTTCAGCTCCTGAGACAAAAGGCAGGAGAAGCAGCGAAGGTAAACTGTCTCTATCAGCGCAGGCTGTGCAGCTACTTCTTCCACACTGAGCGTGCCCACTCCAACACCGACCAATGGCTGCGCACCACGCACAACATCGGACCAATCACAGCCTAGCATATGGCACAGCTCGTCCAATCACAGACTTCAACATAAGTCGATGACCGAAAATCGTGGCTAGTCACCATTGGCCAGCAGAGAATATTCAGCACATGCATCCTTTCCTAACAGTAAGAATGTATTATGGATGGAAATCTAAATTGGTTAAAGATTGATTTTTGGTGTAAAATGTCATAGTGACAAAACGGGACTTGGTGACACAAAAAACGACGACCTTTTTATTTTTTATTTATACCCCAGTTACCATAACTGCTCTGTCCCAGACAAAATAAAACAATGCAATTAGATGACAGCAACTTAACGTGCAAATTTGAAAGATATATAAATATACTGGGACCTGCATGAGAATCTAGCAGGAGTGTCTTTTATTTCTGTAGGGTTTGTGAGGCTAAAGCGATTGACTCTACCCAGGACAATATTCAATCAGGTTTAAGTTTATAAGCGTTACCTATAAATGTCCACCAGATGGCGGTATTCAGTAAGTAGTAAGCAGCATTCTGTTTTTAAATGAGTATTTTCAAGATAAATAATCAGCTGCTCCAGATGTGTGTGGCTATTTATATATATTTTAAATTCAGTTTCTGTTCAGTTTATTTATATAGCTCCCATTCACATGTCATCTCATGGCACTTTACAGTTCATCCAGATCAAACAGTCAAATTGATTCAGAGTTTTCTATCTAAAGAAAACAAGTTGATTGCATCGACTTATTGACTCGAAGGCAATCCCTCACTCTAAGCATGCTTGTAGCGACAGTGGAGAGGAAAAACTCCTCATTAACATGAAGAAACCTCCAGCAGAACCAGGCTCAGTGTGAGCGGCCATCTGACAAAGTCCGACGAGTTCACATATATCTGTGCATCAGCTGTGTAAGCTAATTCGTTGCCTGCATGTGTAAGACAGCAGATTTATTTGTGTGTGTCCCCCAAAATTGGAATAGTTAAGAGTATCTAAATAAATAATAAGTCTTTTTTGTAACATATAAGTTTGATTTACTGGAATACAGTTTTCCCTTAACACGTACACTGTTTTGAAGCCACTGTCCATAACAACATTCTAGTCTAAGTTATTTTGAAATGGCTTGACTACCACATTCAATATTTTCCTGTTTTCAGTATTGCATAGGAGAGTAACTTTTTCCAGCAATATATGAAAGGAATACAGCAGGGTTCAAATGATTTTGGACAATATGGACCAACCCTGGTTTGATTTCAGGCGGTAGAGTTGGATATGTGGATCCGCTCTAATACATCTTTTTTTTTTTAAAGTAAATAAAGTGACCCATGTCTAATGTTAAGCTCCCTGATGGGAGGTGGGAAACCTGAATTTCTAAACAAAGTAATATTCTGGTGAAGATTGATCATTTTTTTCCCCATGGATCCATTTCCATAACTGCAGCTGGTGCCTAAGCCTAGTGATATAAAAAGAAGAGGTTGGGTATACCATAAATAGATGGCTAAACCTGCACAGGTAAAAACCCAAATTTACACATGTACACCTAAAGGGTCACTTGGCCTTTTCCCTGGTGTGAACATCAGAAGGAGGCCTGGGTACTGAAGAGAGGCAATATATTGCACAAGAAGAGCATTAAGACCGTCTCCTCATATTAAGGAGATAGTTGACTAGAATCTTGGTCTTGGGTTTTTTGATAAAGAAGATACAACCCTGTGTAAATGTGCAATTATGTTCACAATTAGTAATTTTAGGAGCGTGCATTGAGATTAAACTAAGCTAAGTCATCCTTAGTTCAACATAGACAATGTATGTCTTTTTTAAATACTTTTCTAACAATGTCTTAATTTGTTACAAAAAGGAAACTTATTTCTTCATAAGTTTTATTTCTGTGTTGAATATAATTTTGAAGAAGACTTATTAGTAATTTAGTATACACATTCTTCTTGATGATGATGTCTTTATCCTTGCTGTATTGCAGATGGCTGATCCTCCTATAAGTAAGTCCTGCTTGAGGTTTCTTCCTGTTAGGTGATTCTCCTCTAATGCCACATGGTTCCTTAGGAGGAGGGACTGCTGTAGTTGAAAGTCAAGTCCTTGCTATCACTTCAGATTTTATTTTTATTTTTTTTTAACCAATGGGTATTCTATGACTAACTGACTTTGATTGCACTGTGGTATCATTAGATTTGTATGGGATAACATGATTTAATTGATTTTGGAATAATTTTCGACCTGTAACCTGACACAAATCGGTAAATTTTTTATCTTAATCTTTTATAATTTTCAGCTCTCTGAGATATGAAACCCTTTACTGACCTTCCTCTCTGCCATTTCAGAAAGTGTTTAAAATAGCAAAGCAAATCTAAACAAAGATAGTAACACATTTATTTCAAATTGTCATCAATTTAAATTAACAAAAAACATACGAGATTGCATGATTTAAACATCATGAAAACAAAAGGCCTTGAAATATCGTTTCTGTGTTGCCTAACTTTTGAGATGGCATTTGTTGTGAAAAGGTGTTGTATAGGCTAAATTAACTGTATTGAATTTAATTAAGTTTTATATATTCAGTAGTTATTATTATTATTATTATTATTATTATTATTATTATTATTATTATTATTATTATTATTATTATTATTATTATTATTATTATTATCTATTAGTTTTAAACACGGACAAAATTAAAAATTGGTGCAATGTTTTCATTAAACACATTTTTCTCTAGGTCTACCAGATTTGGCCGAATGCCAGACGCATCGGCCTCTCATTGGCTGTGGTTTGTAGAAACGCGGAAGTGACGTCAGAACAGCTATACAGGGACAGTTTGGTGTTTCCAGAGAAGGCTGCCTGTCCCGCGTGCGGCCGACTGGTAGTCCACAGCGACCTCCGTACCTCTGGTCCCGCAGAGAACGTCACAATGACGCCCCTGTCGCGGTCCCTCTCGCCGCTGGTCAAACGGACGGAGTGTCTGTGGAGGCTGGGGGTCTTCCGTAGCTTTCTACAGGGGCAGCCCGACCGCCGGTCCATACCTGGTTGTTGGAAGCGGAGTTTCAGGGCAGTGTCCTGCGGAGGAGCCGGTATCCAGCCGCTGCTGAAGCCGCCCGAAGCCAAGCAGAGCACCGCATCTCTGAGCAGCAGCAGCTCCTCAGAGGGTCCGGAGGATACAGACAAGCTGTGGTCTGTGTACAAAGAGACGAAAAGACAGACAGAGGGTATGTTTTTCTCACTAATACGTTCATTTAAAAAGATTATAGCTCAATAATGCTGCTGACTGATTCATTTACAGCTTTGCTTTAAAAACACCTATAATACTAAACATGTTATAGACCAGTAACTAAAATAAAGCTGTTTTACTAAGACAAATTCTCAATTATTTCAAGCAAAAGTTTAGCTTTCTGTTCATTTTAACAATATTTTTTAAATTCTGTATGTTTGCTATAAAGATACATTTTAAATTAATCAAAGGTCTAATTAAAATCAGCAAATTTAAATTTAAGTTATTTGCTCATTAATCTGCATTACACTACAGATCACAATGTTCCTATATAGGAATGTACCGTATATATATTTACCATAATACCACTGAGCTTGCTACTAATATTGCTGAGCACTGCTTGTCAGCTGGCTTAAAGAATGCCACTACACTCTCTCCTCAGTTCCTAGAAGATCCAATCCAATCCACTTTATTTATATAGCACAATTTAAATAAACACAAGGTTTCCAAGGTGCTGCACAAAAAAGATTAAATTACTAAAATAAATAAAAGTAAATAAAACAAAATAAAAGCACTGCCTGCACAGGATAAAAAATATGCATGTGTATACATAAAATCAACATGTGTATACATAAAATCAACACTCTACATGGTGTCAAAAGCCAAAGAAAAGAGGTGGGTTTTAAGAAGACGCATTTAGTTGTTTGGAGGATAAACTATTTTTAAATCAGTAATGTTTGTTAAGGGGTCGACTACAGGCCCACTGCACGAGCAGATAGCCCTACTAACTCACACGTTAATATAATTTCCAGAACAGCAAATAGTAAGATATTGTGCGCAATTATAAAATGTGCTTAAACATTTCTGCAGAAATTCTGAAATGTTAATTTTCTTTGTTTGTTTGAGTGTATTTAAAGACAAAACAAAAAATATACTTTATAGTCAATGTTAATGTACATGTAATAACAATGAGGGGGATTGGCTGCCTAGTGATAAGGGCAAAGAGCTTGGAATCCAGAGGTTCTGAGTTGGAGCCCCACTCCTACGGACTTTCACCTGGTCCCTGAGCAAGACCCTTAACCCCACTCTGCCCCCCAAGGGTGTGGGTTAAATGCAGAGTTAATTTCATTGCTCTGTACTTGTGATAGTCTAATGACAATAAAAGCTGGAAAGAAAAGAATGAACCAAAATATATTTTGTTTTTTTTAGCCGTTTTTTTTTCCCTTTCTGTTTTCTTTCAATCTTAACTCCATTTATTTTACAGGTGTAGCCACTTAGAATCCTTAAAATAACATATTTGTTTAGGTGAAAAAAGTCTTTTGAGCTCTTGAGAGCCAGATAGATGTCTGTGAATAACACGATTCGACACAAGTCTTGAATTTGACACTTGTACTGTAGCTCATGTCAGATTATTTTTCTTTAAATGATTGTATTCAAACTCTGATGCTGTGCCATTTTTCTTCAAGGTTAACATGCTGTAGAATCTCACAATGGCCCATTTCTGCTCAGAGACTCCAGAGGCAGCAATTATGTCTATCAGAAATATTTTCAGTAAGAAGAATAAGTTAAAAACTAAAACGTCTTAAAAAGAAAAACAACGTCTCATATTAAGTTTTAAATCACAGTTTTTAAAAGCTGTTATATTGAAATAGGAAATAATAGCATTTGCTCTGTGTAGGTCCTCATAAAAAACAAACAGTGCTTGTTTTAAATTCAAATTATCCAGAAACACTGCTAAGGTATGCGCCTCAATTATTTTTTCCCCCCACTGTAATCTTGTAATGCAGCAGGTGCATAAAGCTTCTCTATGTGGCATAATGTAAATATAGTAAATTGTTAACCTTAAAAAAAACTTGGGCGGTCAGGGCTGTATGTTATTTGGAATGGGAATAAATGAAATGAAATTAAACCCTTTGGTGTATTACATTTTCTCTTAGTTATATCCACCAGCTCGGTCGATCCGGACACCATTTTTGCAAACAATGAGATGAGCCTGCGAGACATCGAGATCTACGGTTTCGACTATGACTACACCCTGGCGTTCTACTCCAGCCACCTGCACACGCTCATCTTCAACATAGCGCGAGACATCCTCATCAACAACCACCGGGTGAGGTGCCTGTTTTAAAAGCATCACTGAATAACGTTTGAGCTCTAGGAAACCAAATTTTAAAGAAAACGCACTATGTATTGTTAGAAGTAAGGTTTTTTTTTGTCATTGCAATACTTGAATAACAGTATTACGGTACCCATTGATTTAAGATGATGTGCAGCTTTAGTTTATAATAGACATCTGCCACTCATAATTAATCAGATTTTTTATATGACCTAAACTTTTGTTTGTAGTATCCAGAGGGTTTGCGGAAGTATGAATATATTCCAGATTTTGCTGTAAGAGGGCTTCACTATGATGTCCAGAAGGTAAGAGAAACATCTCCTCTACCCAGCTGTCTAACTGCTGCTGCCATATATAGAAAACTTTGTATCAATTTGACTGTATGATCTGGTTGAACTTTAAAGTGCCTTGAGATGACATGTGTCGTGAATTTGGCGCTATATACTGGGTTCCCGCGGGTCCATAAAAAGTC